ACGGATGAACACAAAGGAAATTTAATAGCTGATACTTTTTACAGGACGTATTTACTCCACGTCCAATTATACATGATACTTTTAATGACTTTATAGAATCATATATTTTATAACCCAATTATTCTGTTCCTTTCAGTTTATAATTTATTTCTCGCAAAGAATTGTTTGTTATCATTCATAAATTAGAAATTCATAAAGCATTTGGATTTATTAAAACAACTAGTAAAATGGTAAAAGAATTTGACTTTCCAATAATTATCAATTTAAATTGTATTTATAACGATATGTTTGTCAGTCCTGGAAATTGTCTCATGTTTTCCCAGTTTGTGATTCTGGTAAATATCTACACAATCCCTCAAGTTATCGTTTAATTAGGCTTTTATCCTCATTCTCCAAAACCTTCGAAAAACCGGTTTCCTTGTCTTCTAAATTATATTTCTTCAATAAATGCATTACCAAATACTGTATCCCAATACTCAGCAACCCCACCAACTTCTACGTGTTTTATAATTAATAGCAAATAGTTTCCATAAAGAACATGTAATTGCTCTTTTTCTTGACGTTGCTCAAGCTTATGAGAGAATATGGCATTCTGGTCTTTTATGTAAACTGTAGTACCTTGGTGTTCTAATTTAATTAATTAAAATAACGAAAGATTTTCTTACTTTTCGTACATTCACAATTAAAATTAACATTTCTTTTCCACTGCTTGTGCTATATTTTCAGGAATTGCATACTACTCTATTCTTTCTTTATTCCTTTTCAACTTTTATTTCTTATTCCTTTACTCTCTTCGACTTCATTTGCTTTTTACTTTGAACTTAGAGCTTTTATTTTCATCACATAAAAATATAATTTTTGAACATAATGTCTTACAAACTTCAAATAATAAATGTATTAAATAGACTCAGCTTTGTAGACTTAAAATCATCCCAACTAACACACAAACAAAAGTATTTATTCTTGTAGACCACCCAATCCTCACATCTTATTAACAATATTTTTTTTATTTCTTGAGTAGATAATAATATACCGATTTATACTTTTAGGTTAGTATTTTGATCAACTGTTAACATGGAAAATACATAAACAAAATATTTCAAAGAAGTCACAATAGCATTCGTTATTATACTTCTTAATGAATAAATATTCCAAATTAAAAATTGATTGTAGAACTTCAGTTTACAAATCTGTGATCAGAACATCCCTAACATAAGAATGTCTAATTTGGTGCAATGCTTCTCCTACTAATATAAGAAAAACTACATATTAATCAAAATAAATTCCTGAAAATTCTTGAAAAACGAGTGGACGGACCGACCGACCGACGAAAAGAGATAGACGGAGGAAGACTAAAGACTGAGAAAGAACACTTTTTAGGTGTGAAGAAGCTCCAAAACGCTAAGTAAACTAGTGTGTCCTGCGAGAGAAGGCAAGAAACTGCGTAAGAGAAGCGATGAAATTCCCATTTTCGATATCAGGATCTCACGAAATGCGTTTTTTCTATTAATTAATCGGTTCTTGTGGTTGCACCTTTCTGAACCTCTCTCTTTTATTATTGTTTACGATAAAAGTAAAAGAACTCAGAAGAGTTTAAATGTAGAGAAAATCTCTCTGTATGCTGATGAAAATTGGAATAACGAAGAGTATACACTGAGCTGTCAAAAGGCATAGGATATTTTGGCAGGACCTACTTCTGCCTAGAGAAGTGCTCCAAGTCATCGTGGCATGGACTCATCAAGTCGTTGGAAGTTCTTTGAAGAAATATTGAGCCACGTCGCCTCTATAGCTGTCCGCGATTGTGAAGTTTGCCGGTACAAGATATTGTGCACGAACGGACCTCTCGATTATGTCCCATAAATGTTCGATGGTATTCAAATCGAGCTATCTGGGTGGCCAAATCATTCATTGGAATTGTCCTGAATGTTCTTCAAATCAATCACAAAAATTGTGGCCTGGTGATGCCGCATTGACATTCATAAAAATTCCATCATTGTTGCGTTGAATAGCTGCAATTGGTCTCCAATAAGCTGAACTTAGCTATCTCCAGTCAAGGGCCAGAGGACGCAGTCCATTCCATGTCCACCACCAGCTTGCAGAGCGCCTTCTTAACAACTTGGTGTGTAGCTACGAGCGATGTGCGCCGCACTCGAACCCTGCCATCAGCTCTTGGAAATCGGGGCTCCCCTGACCAAGCCACGGCCTTCCAGTCGCGTGGGGAGCAATCGACGAGATCACGAGCCCAGGAGAGCTGCTGCAAGCGATGTCGTGCTGTTAGCAAAGGCACCGGAGTCTATCTTGTGCTGCCATAGTCCATTAAAGCCAAATTTCGCTGCATTGTTATAACCAACACGTACGTCGTACGACCCACATTATTTCAGAGATTATTTCTATTCTTAATGTTGCTTGTCTATTTGCTCTGACAACTGTACGCAAACGCTGCAGCTCTCGGTCATTACATGCAGGTCGTCGGCCACTGTGTTGTCCGTGATGAGAGGTTATGCCTGAAACTATTCTCGACACACTCTTGACATTGTGGACCTCGAATAATTGAATTCTTTAACGATTTCCGAAATGGAATGTCGCGCCTCGCTTGTTGCTAATCCCATCGTGCGAGCATGGTCACATCAGAAATGTTTTCACATGAAACACTTGAAAACCAGTTGAAGTTCGGCCAATGCACTGTTCTGTTATACCTTTTGTACCGATACCTCTGCCATCTGTATATTTGCATATTGCTATCCCATGACTTTTGTCACCTCTGTGTATTAAAGAAAGGAATATTTGGGACTAAATTTTATAATAAAAACAAATGCTGGCAATTTGAAAGAAATATTTTAGTACACAAATGAGGTAAGATATTTGAAAATAAATAAATTAGAGGTATCATAACAATTTTTTTTCTTAAATAATATTTATATAATATTACTCTGAGACAGATTAAAAGTAAAGGTAGATAAAGAAGATTTCATGACTACCTAGAAAATGAGATTTAGGAAGGATTTTTATGGCTATTTTTCACTAGTATTATTTTTTAATTATGTATTTTCTCAGGCTGATTTTAAAAATAAATTAATGAATTTATAAATAATTACTTAAATCACAAAAATGTTAGATTTTACAACCTGAGATATCAAAACAAAGACTATACAAGTGATATGATTTCAACTACTCTATTGATATGAATAATATTGTTCAGATGATTCCCGTTCAGAACGAGGTTCAAATCAATACAGTGTCAGTGCTTTTTCCAACCCATAGTTTTCAAGTTAAGTTTCATATGAAAAACATTTTTCTGCGTCATTCTCAACACACCGCACCGAAGTGTTAGAAGCAGCTCCAGATTATGTGTTTTGATTAACCTTGTTTGTCCGAAAAGTTGAAAAGGGACTTTGGCAGAACCAAGTTGTAATTGTATCCTAAATAGTAAATGGACGGACAACTTGTATTCACGTGACTCAAAACCTTGTTCTGGACGGTTTTTTCATAATGACTCAAATCAAAACTCATGAAACATTTCGGATCGAAGTCTAAAACCTTTCTTGAAAATTCTTCTAGAAACGCGGTACAATTACCTTCAATGGAGTCCGGAAATCACATTTTATTTTACCCTAAGAAATTTCTTCAATATCCCAAAATTCCCTTGCGGAAGTGGTACAGAGGAACTTACTTACAACATTTAATTTGCGAATTAACGCATTGATTACTTAGGCAAACTCTTTTAAAAAGGGAGGAAACTGATCTTATATGCGGGCAAAAAGTCATTTATTTTTACTAAATAGGCATGCAAAAAAAGGCATGTATTCATGCTAAAGTAGTGGGCAACATTAGTAATAATTATAAATTAAATATTTCCAAAGGCGATGGAGATTTTTAGGCAGTTGTGTTGATATTACTATTACAGTGAACTTTATTATTCAGAAAATAAATAAGAGTAACTCACAAATTAATGTTAGTAATCCAACCAACTTCCTAAAATAAAGAGTACTCTCACTGTTAGTAGGGGTAGGGTGCCACTATTTGAAGATATTTTATAGAGGCGTGGAGATAGAAACAAAATGGCGAAGTTTCAAATTACAGGCGAATGTTAGATAAGGGTTCCATAATTCGTAATTAAAAAATCAGAATTATAAACTGCGTTTCATTAACCGACTTGAAGACAGATGATGTCCGACGAAAAGCTAAAATATGAAGCCATGAATTTATAAGATGGTCGACAAATTGGAATGATTGGATTGATGAAAAGTAAGATGATCGACAGATTGGGTGTGGATACAAAAAAAAGTTAGCAGAGGCACTTTTTTTGAAATAATATAATGTCAACAAATGTGGATTGTACTAATTTAATATTATAAGAAAAGCAGTCCAGAAAATTAAAAACAATTAATGCTTTAATATTTCGGAAAATTCTGAATTCTAGGCGGGGTTCTCAAACTAGTACGCGCACTAACGGGGGTGTCCTGTAGGCTTGTAGAGGGTACCTACGTGAACAAGTACCAAGGGAAAAGTTGAAGAAATAAGTCAGTAAGTTAAAAGTTATGCTATTTCCCGCGTTATTTTAATTATTTACTAAGTGAATTTAAAATATTTTTTCTACGAATTAAAATACGCATTAGTAATACATACAGCCAAATTAAAATAGTTAAAACTTGAAGTTTAAAGATAATTTATCGAGGAAGAACATTAATCTTTTATTAATGTCAGAGCGATTTAGACTTAAGAGAGTATGAAAACCTTTGCCAGTGCCCGATCCCAGGGGGGGGGGGCATGACCCCCAAAACGTCTAGAGTTTTTGTTTCATACTTTCCTTTACGTGGTAAAAATGATTAAAATATTTATTTATATTCATAATTACTTAAAAAATAATATTGTATAATATCATTTTCACCACAAAAATAGTATACAATATAATAACAAATACGTTTATTATTTTCAAAAATATACGATGGCCAATCCGAAAATGATTGCCTGGGTCCGCTTCTCTGCTCTCTCACATCCAGACCACATGGGCTGTGCGTCATCGCCAGCTCGTTCGAATCTCCCTCCACGCAGCCCCGCGGCGTGCCCTGGCCGCGCATGCGCCGAGCGACAGCGGCGGCGGGTGCGCGCGCACCAGCGCTCCCGGCGGCGGCTCCCAGCCCCGCGCCCGATTCCGCTTCTCCCCCCGGCGCCCGACCGAACCCATGTCATTGGCAGCACTTGTGCGCATGCCTGTGACGTCACATCACGTGAGAGGAGAGTGATCGGACGTGACTTTCAGCGGAAGAAAGGGCTATATTCACGCCAAAGCAAACAAGTGCACTGCGCTGGCTGCCGCTGCGAGAAGCTCGTGGTTTTGAGGGCGCGCGCCGAGCGGCGCTGGCGGCCGGCCGAGGAAATGATGCAAAGCGAAGCAAAGCACGAGATCCTGGGATCCGTTAGCCTTACCACTGGCGGATCCAGAGTGGGGTCAAAGGAGCCATGGCCCCCAAAAAGGCCTATAGTTTTCGTTTGTTACCCTCCGTTATTTGGTAAAAATGACTCAAATATTAATGTTAGAATAATGTAATTATTTAAACAAATAATATTGTATAGTATCAAATGTACACTACATATAATATAACAAATGTTCATTATTTAACAAAAATCTATGATGCCCCCCTCCAAAATAATGAGCTGGACCCGCTCCCTAGCCTCACTCAATGCAAACGTCCACTGCTGTTCTCAAACTTGAGAAATAACAAACGCAATTGCAATTCAATAATTACTCACAACAATTACTCATTGAAAAGACATGCTTTATTTGCGTATCAAGAATACATTTAAAATAATGATCATAAATCAATTAAGTTATTTTAATATTCTGTTTTTATGTATTCAGATATATTTTTGATTATTTGCTATATTATTGCGAGCAGGAATAGGGTCGAGAAGAACAAGAAACTGTTTTTGTAGAAGGTTGATACCCGTCTCATTCTTGTAGTACTTGTAGGGTAAATAGTAAAATATCAAATTTCAAGTCAGTTACGTCAACCCAAATGCTGGCAGATATTACCTCATTCACGAAAGGTCGCCCTGAAGGGTGAACTCGGTCGCGGGCGGGG